CTTATGCGCTAAGTACAATGACTTTTGGAGTATTCACACCTGTCTGGTTATCTGGTTAACAAAATACACTAGAGAATCATATTTTTTTACTATATAAGTTGATAGCCCAACTGTTTTTTAAGTCCGAAAATCTATTTCTTAATATGGAGCCATTTTTCTCGTAGATTCTCCTTTTATTGCCTTGCCGCATGTACATTTTTTCCAAAGTTTTTTCACAAGCCTTGATCTTCCACCTCAGTAATTATCAGTCACATTATTATTAAAAAGTTAGCTAAAAATTGGCAATGAAAAGTGTTTACGTTGGTTCTTTCTCTCGTTTTGTTTTCTTGAATTTCGCTTTCGTCTCTCTCACAATCGTGAATCTCTCTGCACTTCTGACCACTTACATTTATGACACACAATCGTACGTGTACTCTCAACTTTTCATAACCTTCCTTCCTGCCCTCCTTTACCGCCATTTCTTTTTTTTTCAAATATTCCTTCCTTCCTGCCCTCCTTTTCCGCCATTTCTTTTTTTTCAAATATTTTCAAAACATGGCTTCTGCAATTTAATGGCATTTTCGCTACAATTCAAATGACCAAAATAAAATTGGTTTGCCAAAAACCTATTTCAGTGCAGCCTAAATTGCCAACAACATCGCACACACGAAAACGCGGCGACAAAGTGAACGGACGCGACGTGCTACTCGACTTCTTTAGACGCGAAAATTTCCATTTTAATTTTTCATTAAACTTATTTGATCTTTAGGAAATGTATTTGGTCGAGCACAATTGTAACGAACTCAAAATTAATACGAAAAATAAAACGATACGAAATCACGCAAAATTTACGAAAATCGCAAAATTCACAAACTGCAGCACAACTACAGAGACAATTGAAGTAAATGCTTACGGTTGATAAAATTACTTACAGTGCAACATAAGAAGGGGATGAACGCCGCCAAAAGCAGTGATACGACCGATGCCGCTGTAGAATAAAATTTTTTTACAGAACGCGCTGAGCGTTAAATGTTAAAACATATGTGTTACATACATACATAAACAAACTACATACAAAAGTGTTAGTGTGCAATAAAATTGCAGTGCAATAAAAATAAAAAACCAAAAAAATTATTAAAATCTTGTATATTGTGGTTGCTTTGCCGAAAAAAACGTAAGAAGACTTACTCACGCTGGAGAAGCTGCGCGACAAAATGTGGTTCCGCCTCTCGGGTGGCGGAAGCAGTAGCGGTGGGGGCAGTGGTGCAGATTCCACAGACGATGCCTCACCCACACTCGCCAGCAATACATCGAATTCCTTGACGGTGCCCAATTCGGGCGGCAGTGAACCATCGCGTTTTGAGAAGTTTCGACGTGCGAGCTTTCGACGCAAATCCACCGGTCAGATGCCGACACGTAAGCGTTCCAAATCGCCACATTTCATCTTGCAAGCAGACAAATCCACCTCATTGGAGGAGGCAGACGAGGATGCAGAGAAGGAGCGTGGCGGTACAGAAGTGACGCAAGAGCGTCTGTCGGCTACTGATAATGTGACCAACGGCAACCAAAAAACGCTGCATAAAAACGAAGTCGATATTTTGTTGAATGGACCAGAGGGTGAGACCACCACGCTGCTATTGCTCAGCGACCCTAAGCCGGAGCACAAGAAAACTACGCTCAAGTCCATCAAAACTGATCCACCAAAGCGCAAGTTCTACAAGTTTACTTCCTCCTCAGCGCGCCGGCAAGGTTCACTCGAGAGCGCTGAAGCGCCACCGGCTTTAAGGCCGCTTTCGGCTTTAAGTGAGTTCACACCGAAGAGCACGAAGATGAAGTCTACCACAAACGTCGTCGCATACACTGATGATGAGGATAGCGATGCTGACGAGGACACAGACTCTACCGATACGGATGACGAAAGCAGTGATGCTGAGGAAGAAAATTTATCGCCCAAACGTGTCAATGGTAAAGAGAAGAAGATACTGCTTACCGATCCGAAATACAAGCATAACCGCGTCGAGAAGAGTTCTTCTAAGACGAAGATGGCTGAGCTGGAGAAACGTGAGAGCTTGAAGCGTTCGCGTAGTGCGCGTAAAGTGGCAGCGGCTGAGCGTGTGGCTGCTGCAGCGGCTGCATCCACGATGGGGGAGTCTGTCGGCGAAGCCGTCAGCCCGCAGAAGAAAAAGGATAAACGCGCTGAAAAGGAGGCGGCGAAGAAGCAGTCACGCGCGCATAATAATCTTAACTTACAAGCGCTTGTCAAGTTTGTGATGAACAACAAGAAATTCATCAATACTGAAGAATTTACTTTGACGCGCCGCAAGTCGATCTCGGAAGCAGCAACCACAGTCATCTCTATGGCGTCCACCTGCAAGCCCATGCCAATTGCGTTGAAATATTCGCCCGACGGCGTTGTGGCTGAAGCGCCAAAGGAGCATGACGCCAAGGCCGAGCGTAACGTAGTGTTGGTGAAGAAACAAAATCTCAAGAATTCATTTTGCGATCACTTGAATAACAACAACAATTACGGGTGTCAAGAAGCGCCCGACAGTTGCACGAAAGGCATCGGTGACAAGGACAAAAAGAAGAAACAAAAAAAGCAGAAAAAGAAGTCAGTAGAGGTGGACGAGTGTACCAATAGAGAAATATACAAATGCTTAGCTGAGGAGGATACACAGAAAGCGTTGGACGCCAAAGTGAAACGTAACTGTTCGAATAGCTCGAAGAGCAGCAAAAGCAGTGGTAACTTCGAGGATGAAGCTTTCTATTCATGCGACGAGTTGGAACGCGAGGAGAGAGCCAGAGCTGCCAGCAGCAGTAGTTACGCTGGCGACGGCGGCGGCGGTAGTAGCCGTGGTGGTAGCGTAAGTGGCATGGATACATCGCCGCCCAACTCCAATACTTCCGGCTCAACTTCATCCACATCGAATTTATTATCGCCGCCAGGTTTTGTAACGACTGATGAGACGGGGACACAAACAACAGTCATAAAGCGCAAATCATCTTCCCCATCTCTCACCTCGAGAGTGGCGGCCAAGATTAATGAGAAAACGAATAACTATCGGAATCGGAGAGCGGTCGCAGCTGCAGCGGCTGCGGCAGCTAGCAAAGTGGCCAAGAAGCAACGCAAGGGTCAGGTATCGTTGACGACGGCCAGCGAAGGAGGTGTTGGTGTTAGTGGCGGTATAGGTGGAAGTGCAAGCGCGGGCGCTGGAAAGCGTGCAGAATTCTACAAGCAATTAAGTGTTGGTGAGCAAAAACTAAAAAATAAAATTAGTTAGTAAGTAACAAGCATGATTTATTTATCAAGTGTCGAATATTCGGCCTCAGCTTGGAGTCCAGAAATCTTGCATAGATAGGTGTGTTGAGATTACATTGTTGTCAGAGAACGAAGCCAGTCACCTAATCATTGCAAGCCTAGTTTATTTATTGCAACACCGAATTCTAGTTGGAACTTCACAGATACCTCAGCAAGACCAGCCTTTGGATTCGACTTCCGTGTTTACCCACCAGAAGGCTACTCTTTTGTATTTTATCCCGCAATTAAGTCGGCTGATCTATACCGAGCTCCCTGTCTTTGGCACAACTTTATTCAGGTGTGAGTTCCACAACAGCTCGTTATCGAAAGAAATTTAACTTCTTTGGAGAAGGGTATCTCGACTTCATGAAAAAATTATTCAATTAGTCAGTCCGCTTTCCTTTTTCTGAAGAAGCTTTCGGCACTAGTTTTTCGCGGATCGACCTTTAAACCATTACGACTGCAACATTCAGTGATTGTAGCGTGCGGGCTCTGTACATCTGCTTAGTTAGTAGCCGTATTTCGCCGTCAATGGAAGGGTGTTTCCTTAAAAAAAAAAAAGACTGCTAAGAGCAAATCCGCGATCATTTTCATCACATTTAGCAGAAAGGTCAGTAGGCTACTGCCGACTACATATGATTAAACCCAATAGAGTCTCTTAGAGTTTCTAATTTCCTTACCGGGATGTCACTTGAAATGGGTTGCACCATTTTTTTTTATTCTAGAGAATATCCGAGTAGAATTGTATATGAGCAAATCTCACGTGTTGTTTTTTTCTTGCACTTCCTTCTCTCGCTAAAAGAAAAAACGCAAAAGCATTTTTCTTGCATATATTTCAATCGATGGAGTTACAGAAGCAAGTGCAATAAAAAATAAATCAATTATTTGAACAATTTTAGTCTTAGAACGTTTATTTAGGCAAAAAAGTACCGAAATTACTAATTCTTTCATTGTCACTCGAAAAAGTCATAATTGATTATTTCAATAACTTTCAAAAGTTTTCAAATAGGATGTTCATATTAGAGGCAATGAACATTGGCATCAAATACAACATATCCGTGAAATTTCAAAGAGTATGCCACCAAATTAAAAAATGGCAAAATTCTATTTTTTTAATTTTTGTTGGCACACTCGAAATTCATTCTAAAATCGTTTTGTACATTAGGAAGGTGATATGTATGTGCATAAGGAATACTGTGCAAAAATCTTCCACGCCAATAATTAATTACTTTTAAATAATATGACTTTAAAGTAATGGCGTGCGAGTAAACGTGTTGGCTGGCTAGTTATGTATGATGCTAGGGAGGGTTTACGTTACATGCACAACTATGGATATATGTTATTTTACTTTTTTACTATATCTTTTTTAAGTTTTCATTTAAATAAAATTTCGCGATGAAATATTGTTCTATATTTAAATCTTAAGATAATTCATTATCTAAGATAAGTGTGCCACCATTTTCGACCAACAACGCGCTTTTGTCGAAAAATTTAACAACTAATTTGCTCATATATAATAATTTTTTTAAGATATACTTATATGGCATACGCTATCATCTACTAGCCTTAATACAGATCTTTTAAAATATTACATGTTTATTTACATACATACAATAGTGATTGATTTTTTCTTTAAATTCCAAATATCTTACGATTCCAACTCTTGATCGCCTAACTAATCATTTTTTCATCATCTCACTTTCCGCTCTCATTCCATTTACAGAACGCTTGCACGCATCATCCATAGTGCGGCAACCCTCCGATCGCAGACCGGATGCAGGCAACCAAGCGCTGCGCTCCAACGGCAATGCCGCCGCCACAACGTCCGCCGACAACACAGACGATGTACAGCTACGTTTGCCATCGAGCGCTGCATACCCAGCCGGCGGTTCGGGCGGCGAAACAGGCGCTGGCATTGTCGGCAAAGGCGCATTGGGACGCGGCACACGCGAATCCAATGTACCGTTGTCAGGCGAAGTGGCCGACATGGGAGGTACAGCTGCCGCCGATGCGAATGCGCAGGACGCAGCAGAAGGGAAGGATGCACGCCGAGAACGGTGAGTAGTTTTTGTGTTTTATTTTTGATTTTTATTTATTTTTTTTTGTGCTTTTATTGCCATAAACTAATTTGATTTGAATTTGCATGCCTTTTCCGCCAAATGCGCGTGGCGCGCAACGAATCACATCATTATAAATACACAATTTCGAACTTGGAATTGACGCGTGTACAGTTTACATCAACATCATCAGAATAAAAGCGCCCCCGTCTCTGTTAATCGCTCCGAATCGTACAAGGAGCGTTTATCGCAAAAACGCAATCGCAATAGTCGACGCAAAACATCAGATCCTAGTCTGACGTCAAGGCCAAAGTGAGTACTTGCACATAACATACTTATTTATTTAGCATAGGAATCAATATTTTAAGATAATTTTTTGTGTATCGATGATCAGAAGTTGTTAGGAAAATTTTTAGGGCAGAGATAAAAAATTAACGGTTTTTGTACTTGTTTCGACTAAAAATCGGTTAATTAGGTCATTTTCATAGATTACTGAAAACTGTTTATTCTTGCATACAAATTATTGTTCGATAATAGTAAAAAATATATACATATAAAACGAAAATAAAATGTATGTCTAAAAGTCAAATTCAAGTATGACCTAAAAATAGAGAACTTTTGGCTTTTATTATAAAAACTTAAGTTTTATGTTCAGTAAATTAATCAACATATTTTTTAAAGAAAAATTCCATAAATCAAAAAATCGAATTTATGCAAAAAAAAATGATTCTGGGAACAAGTGCAGTGTGAACCAAAATAAACCCTTTACATTGTAGGTCTCACAATTCTATGCTTCCTCACTTTTTTCTACGATCTTTTAATCAGTCTTAAACACATTTTTGAGCTAGTCGCTACCGACTTAAGACCTTTCTTCGCAGTTTTATGGAAATCTGGCAGCCACCATGATAAAAAGTTGCGCCTATAACCTGCCAGGATGCCAATGGCAGGATAATTGGTATCGAATTGGACTTTAAAATGCAGATAGTGTACTACATATATGTATGCACTCAGATGTAATTCCGCCCAGCTATTTATGTTCTATGATGCCTCAGTCTGCTGGACGTACTTAGAGAACTTTATGATCAACAAAAAACTAGTACATGTATGGACGCCAACCAAGGCGTCGTAAAGGTTTATTGATTAGTTTATTAATCTTAAAGGTCCATAAAATAATTTTGTAATTTTCACTACTTTTATTAATTACATTAATTGAACCCGCATCATCTGAAAGTTAGCAAATAACAGCAATCATCTCTGTACACTGACAGCCGCACTCAGAGTCGTTTAATGATTACTTAAGGTGTTCCTTATCAACGATTTGAAAAAATTTCCACTCAGAGTCATTTAATGATTCGTTAACGCCATTTAATGAACATTAAAGTTAAGTAAAGAAAAACCTTTACTTAACTCTTTAACTCTTTAACGAATGATTTTGAAATTTTTTGTTTGTTTCCAATAAATTTCAATTTCGATAACGTTGCTGTAATAGTGGCAATGGCTCAGTGAGCAGAGCACTTTCGTGCCATTCGAGAGATCCGAGTTCAATCCTCGGCAATGGAATTTTTTTTTAATTTTTCTTTTAATTTCTAAGTTTTATTGTTTAAAAAATAAATATTTTTTAATTTATTTAATGTGTAGAAACTTTTATAATTAAGCTTTTTTCATTTTTTACTTTCATTTTGACAATTTTTTAGGTTTCTTGTTTTTTAAAAAATATTTTTTTAATTTCGTTTACTTTTTAGAAAACGTATTGTTAACGATAAATAGAATAACGCCACCCTCCTCGTTAGCAGATCTTTCAATTATTAAGTCATCCGAAATACCGAAAAGAGCTTTGAAGATAGTTGCCGGAATATAAAGACTTTTGTCTTTCGGAAGACTGAGATGAGTTGAAAGACAGATGCCAGAATTAGCCTGTTAGAGGTTTTATTATTTTTATATGAAATAAAAAAAACTGTTTCCTTTTTAAAAGAATAAATTCTACAAATCAGAAGAAAATTAGATTAAAAAAGAAAAAAACTAAATAAAATTAGTCGAATCTCTCGAATGGCACGCCAGTGCTCTGCTCACCCAAGTACTTATTTATACATTTGATTTCAAACTGAACGAAAAAAGTGAGTGATGCCACAATAAGGGTCGCAGCTGCGGCCATACTTAAATTTTTCATTTCATAATTTTTGACTCTGAGTGGAAACATTAATTAACTGATCTAACGATCATTAGTTAAGTGCCCGTTAGAGCTAATTTAATGAACGTTTCTGAGTGCGGCTTTCAGCTACAGTCCTGAAATGTTCAACTTGTATAAATTTTCTTCGTCTTTCGATTTTGTCCTTCACTTCACAGATGCTTTTTCGTAATTTAAAAATAAAACTATAAAAATTATGTATTGCCTTTGACGGCATTCCAACACGAACCTGCTGGAACCTAACAAATAACAGCTACGGCCAGACTTGCAAATGTGTTTTCAAATGTTCAGCTTCGATCCCACTTTTAATGTCGGTCATTTTCTACTAAAAAATATCAACAAACTTTTTATTTACCTCAGTCATAAAAACTAAAATACAAAACTTAATTGGGTTTTTTTTTAAATACATACATATTCTGTAATGAGAGAGAGAGAGTTCTAATTGGATTTTCTTTTGAATAGTAACCGCAACATTCTCATTGTGCTGAAGAATGTTCGAAAGATTGCTGCAGAGTCGTAGCAAATTTGCACGGAAATACGTACATACACCCATTCCTACACATTTGGTTACTATCCAACTATCCATATGTGCATCATCATCATAAACAGATTTTGCTTCCGCCATAAACCACAAGTGTTTGTTCGGTGCGTCAATCGGTTGGCTTCTACAACCGCATTGGCAATACAATGCCAAGGCAAAGCTGTTGCTTAGTTGTCGGTTTATGATGGAAGACAATTTGCAGCAGTCAACTTAAAGCCATGCACTTCATACTTACACTATTACATATTAGAGCAACAGAAACCAAAACAACAGTTTTTAAAATTTTTGTATGTCTGTCTGTACGCGCATCACTCGAAAACTAATGCATGGAATGTAATGCAGTTTTCACCGATGCATTGCTAAAAGTGTAACTTCAAAATAAATTAGAGAGTTGCCACTTTTAGAAAATTGAAGTTTAAGCAAATTAATAAGATAAAGCAAATATCGAATATGGCTGTCAAAAGAAAGAGGGTTAAGAAGGCTTAGAGTCGGAAAAAAATTGTGTGGAAGGCTACCTACCACCTGTTTGAAAATTTCAATTTGATTTTATTAATAAGATAAATTAATCATTGCAATATGTGTATCAAACTAAAGAGGTTTAGGAAAGTTTACTGCCAAAAATATTTTTGAGGAGGGTTGCCACCTGTTTGAAAAATGTTATTCAATCATTAAATTGATAAAATAAATGAAATATTACAATAAAAGAGGGTTAAGGAAGTTGACCGCCGATAAAATATGGTAATTACTGAATTAATATACCTTTAAAGAAAGTGCTCGATACGTAGAAAGAGTTATAGGGGTATAAATTAAATTTCCTAAATTTAAATACCCTCTAAAATACGTTAATAAAAAATAAAGTATGTTTCTTAAATCGAAAATTTGTGTGAAAAACTCACTTAAACAAGCTCTGTAAATCTATTTTATTTTTTTTTATGAATTAAGCCAGAAGAGTTTTGGGAGGGAGTAACAACACAAAAAGACTTTTAAGGCGCACGCTGGGTGATTGCTATTTTTTATAAAATATAGTGCATTTCATACAGAACTCGGAAAATGCAAGAAATACCAAGAAATTTGCATCAAAATTGTAAACTTTTCAATTCGATTTTTTAGAAAAATTTTGAGTATGCACTTTTGTAGCCCATTCAATTTTTATAAAAATAGATTTAGTTCATGCGTTATTTGAAAAAAAATGTGCAACACCTTCGACAAAAAATCTCAAAAATCAAGTGCAATTTTTACGACTTTATTAAACGAAAAATTATTGGGCTACAAAACTGCATACTAAAAGTTTTTCAAAGAAATCGAATCAAAAATTGAATATTTTGGTGAAAACTCCTTGGTATTTTTTGCTTTTTCTGGTCCAGGTCTCGACAGGGGTCTACGTTGGAGTGAAAGGGGTACGTGGCACAAACACCTGGCTGTGATAGGCGTAAATGACAACTCCATTTGCCCATCCTGCTTTGAAGAGGATGAAACGGTGGAACACTTCTTGAGCTTCTTGCTTGCTTGTTTGTTTATCATCGATTTATCTATATTCGATCTTTTCTTTTTTGTTAGTTTCTGAATTTGAAGTTTGGCTTAAAAAGCTTTGCAGTTCTGTTGTTTAAAGTTTTGTGTTTTAAAAATGCGAGTAACGAATATTTTTCGCATCACTTTAAAACTCGGAGCGATAAAACATTTGATAAATACAAAACATGCAAATTCATGAGTGAGCCGAACATGTGAGGAGTTTTCTTAGTGCTCTTAAAAAATATAACTCCTCAGAGCGAAATAGTTCTTCCATGGCTTTACGAGCTTTATTTTTTAAAACTTGCAAGTGTGTAATCACATTATTTTAATAAATAGAACACAAGAAAATATTTTATTTTTATTTTTACCACTCCGAATTCGGTTTTGTACTCACCCGAGATGCAAAATTACATCGTTAGATTTAATCTTCACATTTTTTGATGTGCTTTGGGAATATGTTAGAAATGAGCATCAGGGGGTCCACCGAACCAGTAAAGTTTTGAAAGGGGTCTACGAGAAAAATAAGTTTGGGGAGCTCTGCTCTAAGTAAACAAATTAAAATATTTTAAATTTTGATGAAAATTTCTTGCATTTTCCCGAGTTCTGTATGAAATTAAAAGAAAAATTTATTTTAGGTTTTGCTGTGGAATTACACCGTGTGGCAGTAAATTTTCCACACAAAAAATATTAATATATTACCGAAACTATGGGTATATTATAGTAAAACTCCATGCTCAGTTTTTCTCTCTGACGTTAAAATTTGTTTAAAACGACTTTGAAATTGAAAAAATATGATTATTTCAAAAAATTATTTAAAAAACTCGGTGATGACAGCAAAGGTATCATATAAAACCAAAAATTCTGTAGAATTATAACAGAATATATTTTTGGGTGCATAAGGACGAATGGGTATGGAAAATGTCGTTTACAAATTTTGTGCTTAAATATCCTTAAAAATTTGCAATAATTTTATTTTTTTTTTTTTAGAAAATATTGTTTGAGGACTAATATACGCACGACCTCTTCATCGAATTTCGTCCTGCAAACTTTTTAACTTAAAATTATAAAATTGATTAA